GGTCTGATCTAGAGGCCCGCGTTTCGGTGCGATCCGGATGTGTCATTTCAAATTGACAACTATATATATATCTAAAACCTACCAACCAAATAACAGCTGTAAACAAATATGTATATATCAAATAATTTTGCCATAAATCCCACAGTGCGCATGGACGTATCTAAATTAGATGAACCCAAATCTCTTATCATAATAATTACTTAATTATTACGATGGCATTTAATTTATGCCCTTAATTAACAATTATTTTTAGCTAAATTAATATTAATTGGAAGAAAATCGGGCCACGATACCTGTAACCGGGTCGACATCAGCCCGTAATTCGATGCGCGGCCGTTGGGCCTCGACCATACATGTCAACCCACGTGGCCCAAATAATCCAATTTAGAAATTGGCCCTCTTGGAGCTCAATCGGTGGGCGTTATAGAATCCGACGGTCTGGATGTGTCCGATTACGATAGCAGCACGTGCCAATATTTCTTACGCGTTTTGGGAATATTCTGCGGTGGGGCTTTTGCTTGTATTATACGCTCCTTGTATATATATATATATTCTATTTATTATTATATTTATTTGTTTCTCCTCCATTATTACTGTTATGCTTTTCAACAATTTCGCAATTTCATATTATTTTTAGTTTCTGGCACCACAAAATTTCAGTTACAAATCTTCCCTTTTTTATTACCAAAAACAAAGGGAATATTTTATTGAATAATGAAAATCGCTAAGCATGCAATTTATAACTTAAATCCCTTCTTGTAAGTTGTAACAAGAAATCTTGTACTTTTATCATAAATACAAAGTCACAAATCAAGTGAGTTGGAATTTATTATTATTTTAAAACAAATGAAGATAAATGGAAGGATTAAATATAGATGTTGCTTCTAGGATACGTTTGGCAGAATGGGAATGACAAAAAGCAATCCTATATAAGTAAATTATATATATAGAGAGAGAGAGACGACACAAAAATTAAAGTTTGATTTGTCTTGTAGTAAAGAGTCACCGTCTATAGTCTCCGAGTCAAATGTTGTGACTCATATCCATGTTTGACTATTATCACGAGTCCTACTAACTATACTCTTTAATCCTAATCTTAAAATCAAATTTAGGAATTAATGACATTCTTCGGCCTCTATTCTATATCTTGCTCTAAATAATTTATCTATCATATTTGGTTCAATTTTTATTTTTTTTATTTGAAAATAATTTATTTTAATTTTTAATTTTTTTGAAGAAAAACACATGGGTTGGGCTAAGACTCCTAATTGAAAATAGCTTAAGTGGATATATATATATAATGGGAACATGATGTTAATAAGTCTAAGCAAATCCCTTAATTATGGCCGCGGATTCTTAGATTGAGAATCTTTGTGTACCATTTTTAATTGCTAATTTTTATAATTTATCCAACCTAAACAAAGCATTATTCCTCTAGCTTGTTTTAAATTGCTATCACCAGCCCCAAGTTTTGAAATTTATCTATTGGCAAAATAAAATAAATTATTAATAATAATAATAATTGAAATTTATCTTGTTCAAACTCGTTCAAGTAATTCAAAGACTTGTCGGCAATTCCTCTTTCGTGTAGTTTGTGTATTATTTGTTCGAGAGCATGTTTGTTTTTACTACAATAGAAAATATTGTCACTAAATAATAATAGACATACATTATTTTATTTAAAAAAGTATATATTCAAAAAGAATATTTTAATTGAAATATTTGGTTTCGTTTGAATCAATTTGAACTTAAATAAGCCCATTTCACACTCGGCACCGCAACAAAAGCCCACATGAATGAGCCCACTTATTTAGCAAATTGGGCCCAAAATTGGCCCGGCCCATTCACAAATTTGATATTGAAATATTTTTATCTTTATAAATAATTGATTTTAATTTTCAAATAACATCTTATCACATGTTATATATGATCCCTTTTGCATTATACGAGATTATCGATATGTCCGCTATAATTGGCAGAGTAAGGAGAGCGTTAAATGATCGACTTCGATTTTTTTATTCTTCAACACTTCATAGATTGTTTTATCGTTGTTTTACACAAAAACGAGATACGCCATAGGAAGTTAAGAGAGAAAACTCGACGTGAGAAACGAGTGATCATCTTCCTCAGTGAAGGTGATACAACAATATATATAAATAAAAACTAACATCAAAATTAGATTAAAGAACATATGACGTCATTATTATAAGATTTAATAATATGAAAATCAACACTTGGCCAGTCATTTTTCCACACAGTAGAAACTTGAAATAGAAAAACAAATTAAGTTGCCACTAATAAAATCCAGGCAAATGTCGTTACACATCTCTAAATAATATAATCAATATCTATATATATATAAAAAGAAAAAAAAAAAAAAAAAAAAAGACAAGACAAATTAATGAAAAATAAGGAATTGATGGTATATGAATATATATATATCATCAACGGCGTTTGTTTACAAGTTAAAAAGATTACTCATCGGCAGAAGCAGACAACGCATCAACCATAATCTGCATTGCTTTAGCCCTCATCTGTAAAGCAACAATGTAATCCGCCGTCTCCCGGAAAAGAGTCTCCACCCCCATGTATTCACTGTTCGGAATCAGCTTTTTCAGTATTCTCACCTTCCTTTCAATTGCGTTTATCGGCCTTATGCACCGATCCAAACGCGCCCTTCTCTTCATCACCATACTTCTTCTGCTCCTCCTTATTTGCATCTCCGGCGGCGAGGGATTTCTGTTTGACGAGGACGACTGTAATTCCAGGCTTAGTTTTCTCCACAAAGGGTTGCTGAAATCGCACTTTTCTTTGGCGAGTAATTCCAGGAGGGATGAAAGGATTGGTGTAGGGTTTCTACTCGAAGAAAGCTTACAAATAAGAACTCAAAATAGATGTTAGTAAAATAACATTATAAGATAAATAAATATGAATGTATGGGAAAAACAGAAGTATGAAATTGAAGACAGCTCAGTCTTCCAAACCGATTCACACACACAGATCCACAAAGGTATCCACTGTTACACACACACACACAGTCTAGGATTGCACCACACTCAGAACCAATCCTCTCTCTGCACTCAAACCCCCGAAACCACCCAGATTATCAGTAAGACCACGAAGAAGATGCACTCAGCTTCTTACCCACTCACCACAGACCCAGCTCACAGAAGAATAAGGTAAGGTGTTTGAATTTAGGGTTTCAATCTAGGTCTTACCCTCTGCCACACATCTCTCCGCATTAAATAGGGACTCCAGTCAAAAGGAGCCGTTGAAGAGACAACCACTGGGACAAGCACGGCCAAGGACGGCGGCGAATGGCCCATGGTTGCTGGAGCAAAAGAAGAAAGAAGCAGAGGGGGACCAAAGGAGAGAACAGAGATTGTCTAGGGCACAAAACGGGAAAGGAGGTACAAGGGAGAGGAAAGGTCAGCTATAATGAACGGCTGAGATCACACCAGAACCAACGGTTCAGATTCAAGCCTTCTAGCACATTCCCACTAATGGGCTGGACTTATTCTGGTTGGGCCTTTCCAAATAGACAAGTGTGTGTGTAATGTGGAAATTGGGCTATAGGCCCAAGACACATTTGGGCCACAACCACAACAAATCTCCACCTTGGACCAAAGTGTATCATTAGTGAATTTTATGGTTTATTGGAAGTCATCATTGCTGTTTTTGATATACAAGTAAAACACAAAGTAGTACAAGTATATCTTTCTGATTTCACATAGAAGGTCAGAAGGAGATGTCACATAGACAGAACATGTAACAGTTCACACAGAAAAGACATGTACACAATCAGTCACAAAGACAACACATAGTCAGTCACAAAGACTGTAACAAATAAAGAAAAATAGCACACAGCATTTTAATCTTTGGAAATTAGGTTCAAGTTTTTCAAACAAGAACGAAATTTCTCAACTGGTAAGCACTTAGTACCCATATCAGCAGGGTTGAACTCTGAGGGAATTTTTTCAAGGTCAATAATCCCTTCTTCCACAATACTTCTAATAAAGTGAAATTTAATCTCAATATGCTTAGTTCTATCATGGAAGACAGGGTTTTTGCACAATTGTATACCAGACTGACTGTCAGAAAACACTACCACTTTGTTCCTGTAAAAACCAATTTCAATCAGCAGGCCTTTAAGCCAGATAGCTTCTTTGAAAGCCTCAGTTGTGGCAACATATTCTGCCTCAGTAGTAGACAGAGCCACAATGCTTTGAAGCTGAGATTTCCAGCTTACACAGGAACCATTCAAAGTAAACACATAAGAAGTAGATGATTTTCTGCTATCTCTACAATTTGCAAAATTAGAGTCCACATAACCACAGAGTTCACTTTCAGTTTTACACTTAGAAAACAGCAAACCAAGTTTAACAGAACCTTTCAAATATCTAAGCAACCACTTGAGAGCCTCCCAATGAGGCAAACCTGGATTAGACATATACCTACTCAAATAACTCACAGAGTAAGCAATATCTGGTCTTGTGCTGACCATTAAGTACATAACAGACCCTATAGCATTTGCATAAGGCACATTTTTCATCTCAGACATTTCAGGTTCAGTCTTGGGAGACTGTTCCCTACTTAACACAAAATGGGCAGCAAGAGGAACAGATACAGGTTTTGCAGATTGCATAGAAAATTTCTCAAGGATTTTTTCAGTGTAAGAAGATTGATTAAGAAACAATGAACAGCCTTTTCTATCTCTGATTATGTCCATGCCAAGTATTCTTTTAGCATTTCCAAGCAATTTCATGTCAAATTCATCACTAAGACACTTAATGACATAATTGATTGTTTTAATACAAGGGCTGGTCAGAAGCATATCATCCACATAAAGGAGCAAGAAGACAGGAATTTTGGCAGAGTGTTTGAAATACAAGCATGGATCATATGAACTTCTCAAAAAATTTAAGGATTTCATGCATGCATCAAATCTTTTATTCCACTGTCTAGGGGACTGCTTAAGACCATACAAAGATTTTTTCAATAAACACACATAATCAGGATGTTTCACATCAAGAAAACCTTCAGGCTGTTTCATGTATATTTGCTTATCTAATTCACCATGGAGAAATGCAGTTTTCACATCCATTTGTTTTAATTCCCAATCAAATTGAGCAATTAAGGCAAGCATAATTCTCACAGTAGTAAATTTCACAACAGGAGCAAATATCTCAGTATAATCAATTCCTTCTTTTTGGGTAAACCCCTTAGCCACTAGCCTAGCCTTATATCTAAGTGAATCAGATTCATGTTTAACTTTAAACAGCCATTTACAGTCAACTAATGAACATTCAGCTGGTTTTGGCACAAGAGTCCAAGTATGGTTAACATGCAAAGATTCAATTTCTTCATTCATAGCATTTAACCAAGACACAGATTCATTAGATTTAAGGGCTTCCCTATAAGACTTAGGTTCTTTATCATCCAGAGACTCAAAGACATGAAACACATAAGATGCAAGCTGATAATCATCTAAATGATGAGGCCTAATGATGTTTCTTCTACTTCTGTCCCTAGCAAGTTGGTAATCACCAAGATTTTCCACATCAGGCACATTAGTATCAACATTTTGATCAAACACATCATTTTCAGGCACATTATTATCAGTTTCACTATCAGAATCAGATATAGTTTCATGTTGAGCAGGTATAACAGGGGAAGTCTCCACCTCAGAAGAGGTAGACTCAGAAGAAATAGCAGACAAACAAGGAAACTCATTCTCATTGAATATCACATTTCTACTTATAACAGTTTTAAACCCCTGTTCCCCCTTAAGCCAGCACCTATAACCCTTAACCCCCTCTGGATAACCCAAGAAAACACATTTAACAGACCTGGGATCGAGTTTATCATGTTTCTGGTGCACAAAAGCAGAGCAACCAAATACTCTAAGATTAGACAAACTAACAGGAATACCAGACCACTTAGTTTCAGGTAATTCACCACATAGAGGCACAGAAGGTGATCTATTGATCACATATGCAGCAGTTAAAACAGCTTCACCCCAGAACATTTTAGACAAGCCAGATGAATTTAACATGGACCTAACTCTATCAAGTAATGTCCTATTCATCCTCTCAGCAACACCATTTTGCTGAGGGGTGTAAGCTACAGTTTTATGCCTCTTTATGCCAGATTCAACACACATATCATCAAATTCAGCATTACAAAACTCAGTTCCATTGTCAGTTCTCAAGGTTTTAATTTTCTTCCCAGTTTGATTCTCAATTAAAACTTTCCATGCTTTAAATCTTTGAAACACATCAGATTTATTTTTCAGCAAGAAAACAAACACTTTTCTGGAAAAATCATCAACCACAGAGAGAAAGTATCTATTACCACCATGACTAGGAACAGGGGCAGGGCCCCACACATCAGCATGTATATATTCAAGGATATCAGTGCATTTTGAAGAGTTAGGGAAAGGAGACACAGGAAATTGGACCTTAGTCTGTTTTCCTAAAATGCATGAGTCACATATGGGCAGTTCAGACACACAGTCATTATCAAGATAATTGTTTTTATGCAAAAGCTCAAGCCCTTTAACACTTATGTGACCTAACCTCCTATGCCAAAGACTAGAATGATCATGTTTAACAGAATTAGCATGCAACAAGGGTTCAGCAGAACACACATACAAATTTTGCATTCTAACAGCTTTAAACACAAATTGATCACCTTTCATAATATTTTGGCAACCATTTCCCCAACTACCATGCAGACCACTATCCTCAAGAACAGCCACAGAAAGCAAATTACTACTCAAATTAGGAACATGTCTCACATTTTTAAGCATAAGTTCAAAACCAGATTCAAACTTAAGGATAATAGTTCCTAAACCAACCACATTTACACCACTGCTATCAGCCATAGACACATTGCCATTTTTTAGTTCCACATAGGATGTAAATAGGTGTCTATTAGGTGTCATGTGGTGTGTGCATGCAGAATCAAAGATCCAATCATTATCACATAGGGATGAAATCACAGAGTTCACACAGTCATGCACAGACTCACCAATCATGAAAACATCACCTAGATTGTCAACAACAACATTAGCCTGTTCATTATTCTTATCCTTTTTAGGTTCAGTACATTCATTTGCATAATGACCAGGTTTACCACAGTTATAACATTTTCTGCCTTTGATCTTGTTCTTACTCCACTCTTTGCCCTTTTTAGGTTTTTGAAAAGACTGATTTTGGTTGTTATTACTGGAAGAGGCCTTGTGTTGAAACTTGAATTTAGGCTTTCCTTTCACAAAGTTAACATCACCAAAAGATTTGTGACCCTTATTGGTTCTTAAATCCAGTTCTTTGCTTTTCAAACCATTTATGACAGTGTCAAGAGTAACCTGATCTCTACCATACTTAATAGCAGATTTTACATCACTATAAGTGTCAGGAATTGCATTTAAAAGCACAATAGGAGTATAATCATCAATGTTTTTATCTCCAGTTAATTTAATGTCCTGAACTAGCTTTGTAAAAATATCCAGATTCTCATCTATATCTTTACTCAAATCCAGTTTAAATCTGAAAAACTTTTCAAGTAAAAACATTTTTGAGGGCAAAGAGGTTTCAGTGTACAGATCTTGCAGTTTTTCCCATAAAGCTTTAGCATCATCTTGCTTTCCTAATTTTCTAATCACAGAATCACTCAAATTCAAGATCATCAAAGAGTAAGCAAGTTCATCAAATTCAGCTTTCTTAGCAGCAGGTGTGGTATCTTCATAGTTTAGAGTAATAGCTTTAAAACATTTTTGCTGAACTAAAACACCTTTCATTTTCTGTTGCCATATAGAAAAGTCACCTCTCCCATCAAAAGGAGCAACAGGATATGCATTCATGATTCACACAGATGAAAGGCACAGAATCACAAGAAATCACACAGAATCACACAGAAATCACACAGAATCACACAGAAATACAGAGTAACACAATAGATAATCAGATTGCCCCCCCCTTTCCAGATTCCTGCGACACTAGGTGGTCCGGACAAGAAAGGGTTTGCTGAGGGCAACCCTAAGCTACACTAACAGTAGGAATAATTGCGGAAAAGTAAACCACATAGAGAGCTGGAAAATAAATCAAGTATGAGCACATCTGCCACACAGGGCCAAGTAGTGCCACACAGGGCCTCCACGCCACACAGGGCCAACTCAATGCCACACAGGGCTCCCAACCTCCACAGGAATAAACCAGGAAACGAAAAAACTAGGGTTTCAGAGTGACTTACCTTATCAGAACCCAGTTAGGTTCTGTAAGCCTTCTTCAAGCAGATCTTCGAGCAACCAAGCTCTTGATACCACTGTAGGGTTTCTACTCGAAGAAAGCTTACAAATAAGAACTCAAAATAGATGTTAGTAAAATAACATTATAAGATAAATAAATATGAATGTATGGGAAAAACAGAAGTATGAAATTGAAGACAGCTCAGTCTTCCAAACCGATTCACACACACAGATCCACAAAGGTATCCACTGTTACACACACACACACAGTCTAGGATTGCACCACACTCAGAACCAATCCTCTCTCTGCACTCAAACCCCCGAAACCACCCAGATTATCAGTAAGACCACGAAGAAGATGCACTCAGCTTCTTACCCACTCACCACAGACCCAGCTCACAGAAGAATAAGGTAAGGTGTTTGAATTTAGGGTTTCAATCTAGGTCTTACCCTCTGCCACACATCTCTCCGCATTAAATAGGGACTCCAGTCAAAAGGAGCCGTTGAAGAGACAACCACTGGGACAAGCACGGCCAAGGACGGCGGCGAATGGCCCATGGTTGCTGGAGCAAAAGAAGAAAGAAGCAGAGGGGGACCAAAGGAGAGAACAGAGATTGTCTAGGGCACAAAACGGGAAAGGAGGTACAAGGGAGAGGAAAGGTCAGCTATAATGAACGGCTGAGATCACACCAGAACCAACGGTTCAGATTCAAGCCTTCTAGCACATTCCCACTAATGGGCTGGACTTATTCTGGTTGGGCCTTTCCAAATAGACAAGTGTGTGTGTAATGTGGAAATTGGGCTATAGGCCCAAGACACATTTGGGCCACAACCACAACAATTGGGTTTCCCATTATGGAATGTATTAATTATTTCAAGAAGAAGAAAATATATGGTTGCAGTGTAAGTGTTTGATGAAATTACTAGCTGAAACAGTAGTTGTTGTTATCAGCCAATATTGGTGCTGTTCAGGTGTCACAAATGCTGACATTTTATACTTGAAATGGAACCAGGGTTGGGTTGTTGGCTATTCAGGATAACATTTCAAATTATTGAATTGAATTTTGTGTGGGGCCTTTCTACCTATTATTTTTGGCCAATAATACTAACATTTTAGAGCAAACCAATTATTTATTTAATTAGGTCATCTCATTATATAGAATGATTAATCCCGTATGATTTGAGCTGATGATTTCAAATATATTATTAATTATAGATTAAATTGATTAAACAATATTTAATTTTCTTGATAATGTTGGGGTTTTGGGTGGGTCCACGTGGGAAATAATTAGACAAGATGTTCCAATACAGTGGGATGAATCAATTAATTTGTAATGAAGAGAGGCATGATTTTGTTGATTTATGGGTGTGGCTGAAATATATATATAATTGGGCATGTTCTTGAAACTTGATTCACATGCAACCACATGTTACAATTCTCTCAACTTCACCATCAAACCACCACCTTATAATAACTTTCATCACACCTCCTCCATATATATATATATATATATATATATATATATATATATATATCACAACAAATTAAATAAAAACACCCTGGCTTATTCCTTTACCCAACTTTTTTCCAAATTCAATGAACACACACACACACACGAATTTAATACATTTTATAAAAAAGAAAAATGATATTCAAGTGTTCTTATGGTGAAGGATTTGTGGGATAAAGAAATTAAAAAAAAAAAAAAATCAAAGGAAATTTTAGTATTGGATCATGCAATATATTAATCATGAATTAATATTAAAGTTGTAATTTCCAGCTCAATAGAGCACTTTAATGGCGGCGGACGGCGGTGGTTAGGGCACTTGCCATGCATGTTTGGGAAAAAGAATCTTATAATTAATATTAGTGTTACATCAATTAATTGTTTAGATGACTTAGGACGGATTTATGTCAACTTTTGTCTCCACAAAAAGGGTCTGTGTAGATTTTTGTGTTGGGATAAGGATTTTTTTGTGTCATTTAATTATTAATTACTTTTCTCAACTTTATTTAATTTAAATATAAGTCTCTTTATAATTTTGTGGACGATTGAAACACATGAATCTTCTCAGAAACTGCGACAATTATCTTTATTTCAATTATTTGGTTTGCCATATAGATAATTAATTAATTAATTAAGCAGGATATTGATTTTTAAATCTTGTTCATGAAGCTAGCTTAACGTGCTCCCATATTCTACTACTAGACCTGATTCACGATTTGTTTTTAGACATGATCCATACAATTAATGTTTGTTGCACCGTATAATAACATGCATGTATACATATATTAAATATAATCAAGCTCAAATTAAATATTTTATTAGCATTTTTGTTCAAATTAATCAAGCTCTTATGTATATAATTGAATTATTTGTATGGCTGAAAATGAAATAGGAAAGATGAATGAGATAGTAGTGTAATAAGAGCACATGCATGCACATGTGTGTAAAAATGAGTAATCGTGGCGAAATATGGTCTTTTTGTGCAAGCGACGTGTATCATTATTCACAACTCTTTCCCTATATTTGGGTCCCTATATTACAGCTGTTCCTATTCTGCTGTTCTGCCGTCCAGTTGCTTTCTTCTTTTTGTCGACTTTTTTGGTCTTTGAGATGCTATACTCGGGTGGTGAAATACATCCGGCGATTCTTAATCGTTGATATATGTGTGATCATATGCACATCAACGGTTAATAATCATCCGGTGTAGCTATCATCAAATAAACCGATTTTTTCTACGTAAAATTTGTTGAATTTCATCGGATAGTATTTTACTATATTTATAGAATAAAATTGCTGATAAAATTAGTTTACAATATTAAAGTCTGGAAGTGGAAAAACTGGGTAATGAAGAAGAAAGTTTTTGCTTTTAGGATAACATTTTCTGAACTACACCAATGTTTTAAGATACATTATAACCAAAACAGAATCGCTGGCAATATATATTCTGTGTTTATTTAAATTAATTTTGCGGCTTTCACATGCAATGAGTTTAGTAATATATAATTAAATTTAAAAGACAAAGGTCTCAATTATATTTATTTTATTAAACAACAATTTAGGATTTTTTATTTGTTGTCATTTGTTTAATTTGCTTCCACCTGCAAATTAAATGCAAAATGAATCCCGTGGGAGTGGGGATCTAGATCCAAATAATAAATTCTGGTCATTTCAACCCGACCCGCATTGTATGTATTTGGGCTAGTAAAAAAACTATGGTCCCTAGTTGGGCCGATTTTATTGGGCTCGATAGCAAGATGTTGGACTTCACTAACGAAAACATTTTATTGGGCTTTTCAGATATTTACGACCCATTTTGCTGCTTAATTGGAAAGGTCAACTATCTTTGCTTCTTAATAGATATTTCTTTTTTTTTTTAGCAACTTTATGTAAATATAAAATAATTCTAAAAAAATTCATTTACCTACCTTTGATATTATTATCTCCGAAAATTTCCGACCCCCTATATAATAAGATTATACGAGTTCTCTTACCTGGATAAAATATCTAGTTAAGAATTTAAAATCAATTTCGTCGAAAGTGTTTCGACACAAGCTTAGGGAAAATATTTAATACAAAATTCAGTCCCTTGGCTTCTAACTCGTTATTCCTTAATTTCGTTTTACGGTTTAGATGATAATTACTGCATTATTCGTCGTTTCAAACTACCTTTTTAATTCGAAGTTATTTATTCCTAAAAAATCAATAATACTTTAGTTTATACAGAATTATTAATAAAAACATTGTAAACATATTATATGTTTTTTGTGTCCATGGATATTATTATTGTATTTATTAATTAAAAATTAAAATGAACAAATATTATTGCACGGATCCAAGAGCACAATCTAGAAAGTCTAAAGGCTGAAACAGTCAAATCGGCCACGTCACCACCAAAACGGAAATATCAGCCTTTTAGGGTTGGGCGTTTGCACTTGGTATAAATAAGAGGCCGGCATTCACAATCCTGACAAGTTTAGTACTATGGAAAAATGTGTAAGAAGAGACATATTTCGGATTTGCGCGTGAATCTAACGTCTTCAGCACATACTCTCTGTGTGGCGGATTTTGATTTTAATTTTAATTCTAATTCTGCAATGTTAGATTCACGCACAAACTCGTAATATATCTTTTCGTTTTGAGCTCTCGCCTGTGAAATCTCAGTCCAAGCCGATGAAAAGGCCTCGGGTTCCTAATTAATTAGGTTTGTTCTTCTTTTTCTATTTTCTGATTCGATTTTGAGGTGATTAGATCTTCAATTTCATTTTGAATATTTATTTTGCTTGTGCTGAATATTTGATTTTTAGGTTGAATTGCATCCTCTGTGCCAAAGTTATATTCTTTAAAAAAAAAATGAGATCCAGATGTATAAATATTAGGTCCCTCTTGCTCTGTTCTCTGTTCCACTGAAGATCTGTGTTCCACTGAAGATCTGTGTTACATATTGGTTCTTCTTTGTATGGATGCAACTGTCTGTTAATCGACGTTTGTCGATCGATGATAATTTCGTTTATTGCGTTATTCTTGACATTAATTGTGCAATGTCGATCGATGATAATTTCGTTTATTGCGTTATTATTGACATTAATTGTGCAATTTGTTGCAATGTCGATCGATGATAATTTCGTTTATTGTGTTATTATTGACATTAATTGTGCAATTTTTTCTGTTGCTCCGGGCGCAAAATTTACATTAATCGATAGTCTGAAACTAAGATTAGCTATATAAATCTCTAGTGAACCCTAACATATCGAAGGACTAAATATAAACGGTTCTAGAACATATACGTAACCACATGAACGAACATATACGTAACCACGTGATATAGGTAGTATAAAATCAAGAACATTAAAATGAAAATTTGCATTAAATCAAAGTAAAGAGGAATCTTTCCTATGTTGCACTAAATCAAAGTGAAGATTAGAGGAATCGATCCTATGCACGAATTTGCAGGATCAAACTCCGGTCGGAAGTTTGAAACTAAACTAAGCTAATTCAACCTACAATTAGCAAATAAATGGTCTTGAAGACTGCTAACTATTGCTTTGTTCTTTTCTGAGCTCTTTGTCTTTTGTGCCACCAAGGAATCTAGATTTTGTTTACTCTTATTCTTTTGCGATTTCAAGAAATCGAGATGGTGTTTGCAGTACGCTCCCGTGCTTTCAAACATCTTAAACATGGTCACAAACAAATCAATCATAGCCTCACTGTCGTAATTCTTTTCCTTAAATTTCATCAAAATCGGATGCGCCCTGCTCCTGAAATACCCCGGCACGAAATCCTCAAAATCCCTCGGAGGTCTCTTCAAAATCTTGATCATCTTTTCACACATTAACGAAAAATCCATCTCTTCATCGTACTTCACTTCTTCCGATTTAGGAGACGAGAAAAAAAGACAACTCTTTGCAGTATCGGGTGATTTAGAACCGAAGATCTGATCCTGGATTGACTCAAGTACATGCAAAATACTATACTCTTCAGGGCTCCACTCTTCAACCTTACTGCAGAAGCGTAAGCTCGTCGTGTCCAAATCAATCCCATCGGACAGAGAGTATATCTTTGGAGGGGTAGCGGGATAATCCGAGGGGTAGATTATGTCGAAGAAAAACAAGCAATGGTGATAAGGAGTTCCGGGCGGGCCCACAATAGCTGCCCTCATAAGATTAATCCTCTGCTCGTACGCCCTGAGGAAAATCGAACTCGGAGTATTTTGTTCCAGAAACTCCCATTCTTGACTGATCCTTCGACTGAAGATTGGCCACAAACTGATGTTCCTGTAGCTACTCCTGTAACTGAAGTAATGGTGATCGAACGGATTATTTGAGGATATTCGGAAGTTCTTGAAGCTGTTGAATTTGGTTTGAACTTGATCGTAAATCTCTTCAATCTCTCCATACATGTTGCTCTTCGTTTCCATGTCTCTGGTGGATTTGGGATTATTTGGAAGATCTCGATCCATCTAATAACATGTAAAACCTATATGTATATGTATATATATATATATATATATACATATAAGAGTTTTGAGTTTGCTAAGTTTGAACGAATTGAATTTGTGTATATCTAGACTTGTAAACAGAATATCTCTCTCCCTCTTTTATTAAGATTCGATCAGGACTCTTATTTTCCTTGTGAGCGTGGGTAAGTATATGATATATCGCAGTGCGCACCCTAATTTTTTATTTTGGTAATTTTTTTTTTTAATATATCATAAATATATGATTAATGACATCATAATTTTGAGATACAGATTCTGTGTGAAAAACATAGCCCTAAACAAACTCTGGGCTCCGCCCATCTAATTATAAAGTGGGCTGCCGGATAGCTAGGCTCGGCCCAGCTAATTATGAAGTGGCTTGCTGGATAGCTAGGCTCGGCCCATCTGATTATAAAGTGGCTTGTTGGATTCCTAGGCTCGGCCCTAGGACTATTGCATGGCAAAGCCACGTGTAAAATCAAGAGGATGAAGAATTAATTTTACTTTCAATTAAAATATAATAAATTCCTTTATTATGAACTGAATTCAAAATCTGATTTTCAAGTAAGAAGACGTAATCAAAGAATTGTGGCAAGTTTAAGGCAAAATCAACACGTCGGTCATTCCCCAGTCAAAGGGTCGGTTAAGTTGGTTAATTTGATATTTTACATGTACGTGGCTGTACACAGTTAGTTGGTCGGTCATGTCTTGAAGTAATCTTACCATCACATGACTTTTCCCTCAACAGATCAAAAATATATATATATATATATATATATATATATATATATATATATATATATATATATATATATATATATATATATATATATATATATATATATATATATAAGCCGACACCAAGCAGCCGACAGTTATTGCAGATGATCTAATCAAGATTTTGTTTTAAATCGTTAGTAATATAATATTTGCGGATCGATGCGCCAAGTTATCGAGGATATAAAAAATCAAACAACGTCCACTTATTTAGTTAATAATAGTTAATCTACCCAACCAAACGAGGCCTTAGATGTGATTAATACATAGCCAATTTCCAACGGCACTAATTTAATTCGATTATCAAACGAATATTTATATTTCGTTAATAAATAAAAAATAAAAATTCCCACAAATTTTAAAGGCAAAACAGCAATTCTTGGATTAGGAAAATGAAGAACGCTTTAAAGGCAATTCTTATTATACAACACAACTCCAAACTGAACAATCAACAATACCCAATCCCCAGTAAATGGGACACACATTATTTAATTATTAAACCAAAATGAAAATATTGCATGCATAATCGCGTTTCTTAGAAGAGAAAACGCGTTTTCAGAAAACAAAAGTGAGATTAGAAATCCCGCCACACTCCTCGTACCAAGGAACCTCCACCTCAACCTTCCCATTGGCCGTCCACCCAAACACCACCTCACCTCCGTTCAGGTACACCTTCTCCGGCGCAACGCTCGAGTACGCCAAAAATCTCCCAACCCCCTTCACCTCAATCTTCGCCACCGTCTCATCGTACACCAATCCCTGTATAGTCCCGCCGGCGTTGAACAAATTGGTCAACCCAATCGGAGCGAATTTGACATCCCCTCCGACGAGATTCTGAATCGGAACGAAGCTGAAGATCTCGAAAGTCGACGGCTGGATAGTGATCGAAACACGAGCCGAATCTCGTTTCGCGATGTACAGCTTCTCAGATTCGCACAAATAAACCGCGTATTCGTCGGCTTCCCCCAATTTCGCCGACTCGGTTTTCTGATCGAATTCGATGTCACTCACATGAACCGAACCGGTTAGCGGCTTGTAGCACTGGGAATGGCCCTTGATCCTCTGCTCCTTTGGGTCCCACCCAGCTCCTTGGCAGTTGAAAGCACCGATCACTCCTCCATACTGTGTTTCAATTTTGTAAATTAAATCAATTAGGGCAAAAATTAAGAGAATTGGGAAAAACACAAGGGGGTCGAATTACGAAAATAACCTTGTTGAAATTCCAGATTTTGAGGATGGTTTTGCTGTCAAAGAGGGGGTTCTTGAAGAGACAGTCTCTAGTGGGGAGGGCAAAATGGAGACACTTGGGAATAGTTCCATCAGGGAAGACAAGCTTTTGAAGAAGATTGAAATCATGGCCGGTCAAAGAATCACTGACATAAACAGGGCCGCCGCAAATAGCCCTGGATCCAGCGTGGAACTTGGCGCAGAGATGGTCGGATTGAAACATGTCCCAATCTGGTTGGATGAACTGACCCATCCACATGCTGTTGTACGCACAGTGGATCATGTGCACCCCTTGCAGCCAGTACACTCCCATTGGATCTCCGTTTGGATCTTGGAACCAGAAATCATCCCCTTTAAAAAAAAATTGAATTTTCAGAAACAAAAAATAATAAATGGAGAAAAGAGGTTAAAGGGTAGTAAAGGAATTTGTTGTTACCAACTCTTCCCATGGAAATCTGCTCAGTCCCAAGGAAGAAGAAGTCATTGCATTGCTGCATGCTGGAAATAAGACCAGTTCCATTGAAGTTCTTGGCTACGGATTTTGACAGCCCTTTGTAATAAGCCTTTGCTAGCTCAACTCTGCCTCCGTAATCTTCAGACACGTATTCAAGTGTCTGTATATTACCAAAAAAAACATATTAGTTAGTTTGTTTCATCACTTTGTTAAGAAATTAAGGGCTAATTATTAGAAACTCACATGAATAACATCAACTTTGACTCCGGTAATTCCGACGCTGGAAAGATACGAGTGCATGGAGTCGTAAAAGTCATCAGCTTGATCGGGGTCCACGAGTCCGATCGAGCCCTCGATAATTTTGACCACAGCAAGATCGGTCATGGTTCCATCGAGGCCGGGAGATAGTTTGCATGGCACAATCTTGGTGCTGAGATGAGTTGCACCTGGCCTAACACCACCCCATGCACCAGCTAACGCATGCCACACGTATATATCATCCAATCCTTTGAAATTAGTCCTCAAATCTTTGGTAAACGCTTTCATACCAAACTCGTCGGTCTTGCAAGAGCAACTCGAGCATCCTTTTTTGCTCGAAGAAGTATTCGCCTTTTCGTCCGAACCACCGCCACCGAACATTTCATCCAATTCTTTATTCAGTTTCTTGATCTCGATCTCGTACGCAGACAAGTCGGTGACACCAGATAGAGCCGCCTTGTCGCGTGTTTTTTCAGCGACCTCGATTTCGATTGCTTTTGAAATCAAGAGCTTCGGCTTTTTGGGGTCGAAGGTGGGGCGATTGGGTCCCACCATGGAGCCGCCTTTGTATTTCCTGAATTTTTCGCATTCGTCGAGCCTGTGGAGCCTAGCTGTCATTTGGGTCCCACCTAGTACGAGGTTTTTGGTGTCCTCGTGTGGGTTTTCCCCATCGTTGTTGATGCTCTGCCATCCGTCGTCTATGATGAGAAACCTTGGGGTTAGACCGCCGTCGGCGAATTCCTTCACTCCGTGCCAGATTCCGGCGGGTTCGACGGTAAGGTAAAACGCGTCCCACGTGCACCACCCGAATTTGTTGACAAGCGGCGGGGCCGCTTTCTCCTCGATGAGCTTGAAGGTGTTGAGGTGAACCCTAACGGCGGTGTACGCCTCTTTCATAAGGGTGTATGGGTTTTCGGACACGTGGACGTAAGCGATTGAGTTGAAGGAGGAAGCTTTGGCTTGGGTGGAGCCGCTCTCGGCGCAGATTAGCAAGTGGCCGTCGGTTCCGGGAAAGAGTGCCGACCGGAATTTGCCCTCGATGATGGGGATTACGACGGCGTAAGACTTGATTTCGGGTATGTCGAGCATGACCCACTGGGTCTCCATCTGAACGTCGGAGCCGGAGGTACCGACCCACTGGGTGGACCACCATGTTTTGAACCGGAAAATGCTGACGAAATCACGGCCGGTGAATTTGCCGAGGGAATTGGTGAGGCGGTCGGAGGATTTGCCCTGGCTGAAACCGAGGAAACCGCCCTTGAAGGAGAGGGATTGGGCGCGGTCGAACAGGGGAGATGGGGCGTCGGAGGATTGACAGACGGAGGAGAAGGATTTGAAAGTGACGTTGGTTGGGATATCAGTGAGTAACGGAACATTTCTAACGGAGAGTTTTCCGCCGTTAAGTTCGAAAAAGTTGTCCTTTTTGCTTGCGATCAAGGCGCTGAAAGTTGAGTTGGCGGGGTCGTTTGGTGGCGCCATGGTAATTCAAGAAACAGAGCAAAAAAACAGGGGAACTGAACCCAAAATAAATAAAAGATATTTATGGAGAGGAGAAATAAAAGGTATTTATGGAGAGGAGAAATAAAAGAGACGAATTGGGAATAATAAAGAGGTAATTGTTTTAATTCGAAGTGTAGAGACAATATGAAAAAATATGAAGGGAAGGCAGATATATATAGTCGAGTTGGAAAATGAATAATTAAAAAAATAATAATAAAGAAAGAAGAAAGAAGAAAGAATAAAAGAGAAAGGTACCCGTAGAGAGAGAGAGAGAGAGAGAGAGAGAGAGAGAAAGGGTATTGGGCGGTTGGGTGTGGGTGAGTATTCTTGGTAGGATATATAGCTTTATTAAATTTATGCTGTGTTGTTGTGACTTGTGGTATATATCTTCTTCCTTTAATATTTATTATATGCCATTTCTATTCGTTTGTTGAAAGCTCAATATGAGCAAAAAACAGAGGACTAGTGGAGACTATGGCATCTGTATTTATACATATATATAACTTGTATCTATTATATTATATTGACACATCAGCCATGGATGCATGGATGGATGACATGCAGGAAATGGTGGATTATTTCGGTCACTGTGTGAGAAACTCGAAACTTCTGTATTTTCAATTTTTGTTCTAACTATTATTTAGGGTTTGCAAAACAAATTGTTCGATTATTATTGCAATTGACACCTAAGGACTAATGTGTAATTTTATACATTCTTGAAGGATTTGTATAGGTGAGTGCAAGTCAAATTTTGGGCATAAGTGGCCTTAATTAACCATCTAGCTAGTATTTGTTAATGCTTACATTTACATACATGTACATGATTCATACGGATACTACACTAGGTGAATTTATTAATAATTTTTAACAGTTGATTTACATTTACCTACTAACACATAGTCACATACAATTAATTATTATTACGATTGCTAATTGTTGGTGCTAATTATTAATATGTGTAAAAAGGGACCACTTAATGCGAAATTCTTGAAAGGAATAGTAGAATCTGCATTTTCTTTTATTTTTAGCCACTCTCTCTCTCTCTCTCTCTCTCTCTCTCTCTCTCTCTCTCTCTCTCTCTCTCTCTTATATTCATCTACAAAAGATGCCGATCAAGTTGTATAATTGCAGGAGGTATAATTACTTTTTTCCCCCTTTTGTTTTGTGTCTGCTTGGTATATTCATTTTATTCATTTTTGGATGATCGATCTCCAAATTCTTACACAACTTGAATGCCTATAAAAAAAGATAAGAGAGAGATAGAGAATAAATTAAGATTATGAACAAATTCGATACTTAAAAGATTATAATTTGATGTCATCTCACTAAGCAATATTATAGACGTACTATAGCGAATCCAGTGAAAGGTTTATCCTTTTCCTGCAAAAAAAGTGATGTCGCTTTACAGTGTATATATATATATATATATATATATATATAT